CCTGCTCTCCCATCACCTCCGATCTGAATGCCCATTCCCCACTCTTGGTATCTCGGCCGAACAGGACAACTTTGCCAGTGTGTTGGTAGCGAGGGGCCCCGACCACATATCTGCTCTGCCCATTGGCTGTGACAACCTGAGATGAATAACCTCAAAGGAAGAGAGGGACATGGGGAGGTGAGAAAACAGCTATGCAACAGTGTCATGGGTAGGACCACCCCATTTGATGTGCCACCTCATGTACTGGGGTTTCACCTCTACCAGCTTGGATTTTCTCTCCCTGTTTTGCTGAATTAGGTTCTCGGGCCTCCTACAGAACTCAGTCCCACAAAGGGCACACCGAGGTGGAGTCACATACTGAAGACAGCTGTGTGACACAGGACTCGCCTGGCTCTTATGTGCACATCCCTTTTTGGGGATAAACCCAAAATACTCCCGTCTTGCTCTATGCAGAAAGGTCTGCACTGGGCAAGCTCATAAAAATTTGCCTTCTCCTTCAATGTGGAAAGAGGTATGCACAGCTTCTCCACTCTCCCACCCTGCTATGAATTGCACAAACTAAGTTATAATAGTGTTATTCAGTACAAAAGGAGAATGTTAAGGGATTACAGGGGAGAGCAAACAGAACAAAGCAGATTGCCTAAGTTAATAAACATAAACTGCCAACTGCGCTGAGCACACTAGACAGGTAAGACAGAAAGAAGTGACAATTGTTCTTCGAGATGTGCCCCGACACCAAGAGTGAAGCACCCACATGCCCACTCGAAGAAGAATGAGCAGATTCTCACCCTGAGTGATAAACAGGCAGTAGATTCTCAAGGCACAAGAGGCCCTGACTTTCCCAGGCTTCCATACTCAGCTAAAAATCTGTCTAGCTCGGACCATCACATCCCACTGTCCTTGCCTCTACAGTGTTTCCAGGTGTGTTGTTGTAGGGAGAGTGACACCCCTAATCTCTTTGATGTCATTGTCCCCATTTTAAATCTTCTTCCCACTTGCTGGAAAATTCTTTTGTTGGGACCTGGGTCAGACAGTTCCCCTTGTGTTGTGCTATCTCAGAGAGGTTTCTGTTGTACCCTGTTCCTGGGGTAACCCTGGTGCTTGTGTGCATTGCCCCAGTAAATTGGCTAACACCTTTATCGTTGTACCTGGAAAGCTGCTGTGGGCATTGTGAACCTCACCACACATTTCAGTAACACATACGCAGCCAAACACCATAGCTCCACATACAACAACACCACAAACTATCCAATGAGATACTCATGTTTAGCAGAGCAAGACTTTTAGAATGATCCTTTGGACAAAACATCTCCTCCTTACAGGACAGTGAGGGGATCTTGGGGTGTCAGTGCTACAAAACGATCCCTTTCTGAGAACTGAGATGCAGCCATCTCTGGGGTGAGAAGCGGGGGCAGTTTACACAGGTAAGGGGAAATCTTTGAGTTTGTTCTTACCGAGATAAGCATCATTCATGTCCCTGGAGGTTCTGGGTATATTGATGAAGCTTGGCTTTCCACTACTTCCATACAGGTAAATCCCACCGGACCAATCATAGGCCCCCACTGCTCCCAGCACAGGGCCATCCTAAGCAACACATACATCGCAAATGGGACTGATTACAAGAAACAGACAGCACAGCATGTTTGTATCCCCTGGCACTGTGCTGAAACACTGGGGTATGTGGTGCTGGTAGAGGCAGAGAGCACCCCTACTGGGTCCCCACGCCAATTACTGGAGTATAGCAACCCCTAGTGCCTGCCCTGAGAGGGAGGGGAGGATGCCCCCTTCACTGCTGCAGACTAGTAAAGGACTGTTTCCCCTGCAAACACTAGACCAACCAGCACCTGTTTAACTTGAAAGTGCTGGCAGGGCCCCAGCACAGGGCAGGATATGACGCACTCTAGGGTCAGGCATCACTCACCGGGGACAGCAGGGAGCTGAACCCCGGAGCTGCTGCTCTGGGGCTGGGTGCCTGAGGGGACAGACAGACAGACATGGGAGAGACCATCAAAGAGGGGAAAGGCCCTGTGTCCCATTCCCTTCTCCTCAGAGCCAGACCTTCTCCCCACGTAGAGGCTGGATTGGCTCCCGTACCCCCTAGAGAGAAGACCTCAGTATCACATCCCTCAGTCCCTTGAGCCAGCAGACTCCTGCCCAGGGGGGCCTGGATGACAAAGGTATCAGAGGTATTCATGAAGAAACAGCAATAGGCAGATATTGGACGGGGAAAGAGAGAGAATATTTGGGGCCTATTTGAGCTCTGGATTCCCAACAGTTCCCCCTCCCATCTGGGAGAACTATCTCTAGAGCCCCTGGGCCAGTGCAGCCCCTGCTCTGGTTCTGGTACCTTCGATGGCGAAGATCTTCTCCTGCAGCTGGCTCTCAATGCCCTGGAGGGCGTCGAAATTGTCCACCCGGAAGACGTGCTGGTCGGCGGGTGCAGAGGCGATCTCTTGGAGCTCCTTCTGGGCAGCATCACTGGAGAAGGCCCGGCCGACCTTCATGGGATAGAGGGCGTTGCAGGGGAGATGAAGGCATCAGCATCAGTCATAGCCAAGAGCCCTGGGCACGTACCCACCTGTTCTGAGAGCTGCTGGGCTCTAGACAGATAGGCAGGATGGCTCTGGAGCAGCTGGTCATAAGCGTCACTGGTGTGAGGAGAGGGGATGCTCTGTTTCAGCACCAAGTTTTGTAGGTTGTGTCAGCAGCAGCGCACGGGCAGCTTCTTGCCATGAGGACTGTTAATCCTCTGGGGCCTACATGACTGAGTCCCCAGGGCGCAGGGAGGGGTGGGTGTGGGCCATGTCTCTGGGGGTGCCTCAGGGTGGGGTGAAGGGATGGGACCACTGAGCTATTCTGGGTGGGTTGTTTGCAGCTGGTTCCGCGGTGAAGTGCAGGCATCTCCCAATCGCTGGGCCCGACATAAACAGCAGACAAAGATCTAACAAGATCCACTGGCTAGAAGGGGAATTTACACCAATTCAGAGTGGAAAGAAGGTGTCAGTTAAACTGTGAGGGGAATTAACCATTGGAGCAGCTCACCACAGGATTATCTTAAAAGGATAATGCTTACCAGTTCCAGTTAACTGGAAACCCCTGGGGGCTGAACCAGCATTGACTATTCTAGCAGGACCGACATGGTGGCAGCCCCAGCCCCAGCTTGGATCTTGCTCATTTAGGTAAATGGTTAAATGTCAAATGTTGGAGGGCAGGGACGGGGTCCAAAGTGACCTAGACAAATTGGAGTATTAGGCCAAAAGAAATCTAATGAGGTTCAATAAGGACAAGTGCAGAGATCTGCACTTGGGACAGAAGAATCCCAAGCATTGTTACAAGCTGGAGACCTGCTGGCTAAGCAGCAGTTCAGCAGAAAAGGACCTGGGGATTACAGTGGATGAGAATCTGGATAGGAGTCAACAGAGTACCCTTGCAGCCAAGAAGTCCAAAGACATATTAGGTTGCATTAGGAGGAGCATTGCCACCAGATCTAGAGAAGTGATTATTCCCCTTTATTCGGCATTGGTGAGGCCACATCTAGAGTGTTGCATCCAGTTCTGGGCTCCCACTACTGAAAGGATGTGGATGCATTGGAGAGGGTCCAGCGGAGGGCAACCAAAATGTTTATGGGGCTGGAGCACATGGCCTAGAAGGAGAGGCTGAGGGACTTTTGCTTATTTAGTCTGCAGAAGTGAAGAGTGAGGGGGGATTTGCTAGCAGACTTCAACTTCGTGAAGAGGGGTGTCATGGTCATGAGGGATGGCCAGCAGCCTGGGGACTAAGGGGTTAACTGTACCTAGCCAGGTAGCATTCAGCCAATAGAAATGCAGGTAGGGATTTCAAACTGAGACAAAGGAATTTTGGGGTTTTCCCTCCTTTGTCTCTGGCAGTTTTTGCTCTTGACAGTGAGGGTATGCCTACACTTGTGCCTTCTTTCGATAGAGGGATGAAAATGCAGACATTCGAAATTGTAAATGAAGCCGGTATTTAAATATCCCGCACTTCATTTGCATAATCGCGTTATGGTGCTATTTCTAAATAAAAATGCTGTGAGATGTGGTTATTTTGAAAGCAAACTCTTCTTCCGAAATAACTGTTAAACCTCATTTTATAAGGAATAAAGGTTATTTCAGAAGAAAGTTTTTCTTTTGAAATAACCACATCTACACAGCGTTTTTACTTTGGAATAGCATTATTTTGAAATAGCACCATAATGCGATTATGCAAATGAAGTGTGGGATATTTAAATCCTGGCTTCATTTACAATTTTGAATGTCTGCATTTGCATCTCTCTATCAAAAGAGGGTGCAAGTGTAGACATACCCTTGAGAGAGACAGAAGACATGTCTCCAAGAAAGACTCTTCAAAATGTGTAAGTAGGGTAAAATTTAGATAAATCTGTTAGGTTTTATTGTTGATCTGATGTCTGTGCTGTTAAAAATGGGTTTTACTCTCCTTTGTAACTAAGTTTTGGCCTAGGGGAGTCCCCATGTGTATATTAATTGGTGATTTTTTCCATCTAGTCATTATGCTTGCAACAGAAGTATTGTTTTGATAATAAAAGTTTTCTTTCTTTCTTTCTTTTTAACTGGGTATTGGTTCATTTCTGAGTCCTGGAAAATCTGTTTGTGGGATCTATAGGCCTCTGACTAGGGGACAGCAGCCACAGACTGCCATTTGTATTTTCTCTTTCTTTTTCAAGCTCTTTGGAGAAAAGAGCTTGGGGCGTCCCTGGGGATGGTTTCAAGTGTCCACCCCTGATTGTGGGTCCAAAAGCACTTGGTGGTGGCAGCAGATTTTTATCCCCCAAATGTAGGTTTTCAGGATTTGCGGGGGAAGTTTTATACCAAAGCCTGGAGAGATAAGGTTTTGGGGTACTTTTACGGGTCCCCCACTTCTGCGTTCATCATGCCAGAGTGGGGAATCAGCCTTTCAGTGGGGACAGATGGCAGAACAAGGAGCAATGGGCTCACGTTGCTGTGGGGGAGGTCTAGGTTGGACATTAGGAAAAACTATTTCACTAGGAAGGTGGGGAAGCACTGTCATAGGTTTCCAAAGGAGGTGGTGGAATCTCCATCCCTAGAAGTTGTTAAGTCCCGGCTTAACAAAGCCCTGACTGGGTTGATTTAGTTGAGATTGCTCCTGCTTTGGGCAGGAGGCTGGACTCAATGACCTTCTGAGATCTCTTCCAGCCCTAAGATTCTATGATTCTATGAAAATTCAACCAGGTAACTGATTAATCAGGATTTTACATCCCTAGTGTAAAGTTGCCCTTTGTCTTGCTGCTGGTGCCCATTTCAATCTTTTTGGCTCAGCAGTTTAACGGAGATCAATGTCAAGTGACAGACCAGTTTGCGGAGGATCAGAGCTGCTGTTTGAACCCCAGGGTGTGCGTAAAAAAGACTTTATAAGAACTGGGTGACTTTGCTGTTTATCTCAGGAACCCATTCTTCGAATGACCCCATATTTGGGCTCCTTACCCTACTCTGTGTGCCCATGAGGCAAACCAAATTTCATGGCAATCTGAGTCAGCACGTGGACTGCAGGGCAGGCAGAAAAAGGGAGTTATGCACTTTGTGTAGTAGCGACTGTTCTTCGACATGTGCCCCTCCATGGGTGCTCTACTATAGGTGACTGGTCACCCGGAGCCGCAGATCAGAGCCTTGCAAAGCAGTTTCCCCCATTGAACCATGTGTGGGCAAGGGGCACCTCATGCCACTCCCACCCAAACTTGTAGTTTGCGCAGCTTAACCCCTCCCTTTCAGCACCTCGTCTACACCCAAGAAATGAGACTCCAAACAGAGAGGAGAAAGGGAGGGTCGTGGAGCACCCATGGGAACACACATCTCGAAGAACAGTCGCTACTGCACGAAGTGAGTAACTCCCTTTTCTTCCTCGAGTGATTTCCCCGTGGGTGCTCCACTATAGATGACTAAATAGCAGTATCTGGTATGGATGGAGGGAGCCAGAGTCACTGTTTGGCAGTAGTGGACAAAACTGCAGTAGCCTCCGCTGAATCAGAAGCAAGTTGTGGTAATATGGCATAATTTTTGGCAAAAGTATGGTCCAATGATCAATGATCATGTCACAGTTAAATAAATGTCTATCAACAGAATGTTGTTCAAGAGGGCCGTGGAAGCTGCTATAGCCCGAGTGGAATGTGCTCTTGGTGGATGCTGAAACGGTCTGTTAGTCATGGTATGACACTTAATTATGCATGTGGATATCCATCTTGAAATACACTGGGATGAAATGGGTGTGTCTCTTGAACATTCTGCGATGGAAATAAAAAGTCTTTGAGATTTCCGGAATGCTCGTGTTCTGTCCAGAAAGAATGCCAATGCTCGTCAGATATCGAGAGTATCTAGGGTAGCATCTCATGATAAGGCATGTGGCTTCAGGAAAAAGGTAGGTAGAACAATGGGTTCATTCACATGGAATGGTGTACAGACTTTTGGTAAGAATGCCGGATGGGGTCTTAACATGACTCTGTCCTTTGTAAAGACCATATATGGGGGTCAGCCATTAGCGTTGCAAGTTCCCCAACTCTCCTTACTGAAGTGACAGCTAGTAGAAAACAGACCTTCATAAAGAGGAAGGATAGTTCAACAGTGGCCAGCAGTTTAAAGGGGGATGTCTGGTCAGATAATCCAAAACAAGATTCAAATCCCATGAGGGAGTGGGGTCCTGTGAGGAGGGAATATGTTATGAAGGCCCTTAAAGAACCTTTTGGTGATAGGATGCTGGAATACAGAAAAACCATCCACCAGTGTGTGAAAGGCTGTTATTGTGGAAAGGTGGATCCTTAGAGATGAGTGTGAAAGCCCCAACATCTTAAGGTTTAAAATGTAATCGAGAACAATGTTCAGTGGGCACATCCGTGGTTCAGCATTGGACCCCTGGCACCACCGAGAGAACTGGGCCCATTTTTGTAGGTAAGTTTTTCATGTAGATGGTCTTCTGCTATGAAGGAGAATGCCTTTCACCCCCTGAGAGCATAGTTCTTCTAATTCTGTGAACCACAGAGTAGCCACGCCTGGAGGTGAGTATTGGGTTGCAGATGCAACATCTTTCTTCTGTTCTGGGAGAAAAGGTTGTATCAGCATGGCAGAGGGTAAGGAGGTTGGACTGCAAGCTCGTGTAAGTATAGGTACTAGGTCTGGCATGACCACGATGGGGCTATGCACCATCGGTGTGAATTTTGTGTAGGACTCTGGGGATAAGCAGTATAGGTGAAAAAGCATAATGCATGGGGTCTGTCTGCTTGATCAGAAATGCATCCCCTAGGGAGTACTTGCCGAGTCCCACTCAGGAGCAGAATCAGGGGCATTTCGTATTTTGGAGAGAAGCAAAGAGGTCTATTGATGGCTTCCCCCATTTGTGGAATATTAAGTTGGTGACCTCTGGGTGTAGTTCCCACTCGTGGTCCACAGGGAAATTGCGTGATGTCCTTCATCATGTTGCTGGCCCCAGGCAGGTAGGATGCTGTAAGCATAGTCTG